AAAAAAAAAAAAAAAAAAAAAAAACACTGGCTGATCATTAGTCAAATGGCGACGATAGTGTTGGGTATGTACCGCCGACGAAATATGAACAAATCCAAGCAAGGTGCGTCGAAAAAAGTTTGTTCAATATAATAAAAACTTTTTTTCGAAAAAAAAATTATATTGAATTAACTTTTATTCAGAAACAATGAATAAACTAATTAATTGTTATTCGTAGATTAATTCATTCTTTATCATCCTCTCTTTTTGTCAAATTTTTTCTCTTTCCTCGCCTATCCTTCTTTGTCATCCTCCTCTTCTCCTTCTTTATTAATATTTCTCTTTCTTTTTCATTTTCATTCTGTCTCTTCTTCGTCAATCTTTTTCCCATTCTCATCCCTATTCTTCCTTTATCCTTCTACTCACCTTCAAGAGGAGGAAAAGAGAAAAATTAATAAAAAGGGAACGAAGAGGAATCGATAAAGGAAGAAAGGAGAAGGATGACAAAAAAAAGTAGACAAAATGATAAAGGACGATAAGAACGATAAGGACGAAAATAACAAAGGAAGATGAATGGCAATGAAACGATGATAATAAAAGAATATGATGACACGGCATAAGGGAGGATGAAAATGACAAGAGTAGGAAGAGGTTTGACAAGAAGGAGGATGAGGATGACAAAAGAAAGGGAACGAGGAAAAAAGAAGGGATGACAAAGGAAGTGAGAAGAAAAATGACAAAGGAGATGAAAGAAGAGGAAGATAAAAAAGGAGAATGCAATTTTGCAATTAATTATTCACAATTCCTGAATTCAATAATTCGATAATTCAATAATTTTCTTTTTCGATAAAAAAATATTTAATTTCTATCGTACAGATTTTCTTTCACACACACTGTTTTGAATTTGTACAACTATACAATCGAGTCTTTACTGTATTTTTTAATAAAGCCATAACCTGTGTTCCCATATTTTCGAGACACCCTATATTATCATTTGATCTGAAAAATTATTTTCAAAAGCAGTGGATATTAAAAGCTTCCAAAAACATTCTTTCTAAATATCTATATCTTCTCTGATATATAAATAAGATGGACACGATATAGTCCAAATAAAATCTATCGGAAAACATCGTTTCGACTACGTATCTGTATCAACCCTCTCAAAAACCTGGGAGGAGACAAAGAAATTTTCGCGTGTTCCAACTTGATGCGACGAGGATTTGATTAATTGATGATCACGAATTTCTTTTGAACAAATTTTATTTTTTGTGACAAATTTTAATTATTAACGCGGTGTCGTCTGTTTTCCAGATACATGGCCATAATGAACCCTTTGAGGCCGCGCATGGGTAAAAGGGCCACGATTTGCATAGCCATCGTGATCTGGATCGTGGGGGCCGTCTTGTCGCTGCCGATGCTACTCTTCTACAGGACGTACACCCAAAATTTCGTGAATGGCGAAGTACGGGTTGTCTGCTACGGCGATTTCCCGAACAGGGACGACAACGGTCTCAGTTACGACGAATACCTGTGAGCTTATCTCTCTTAACCAACCCTAATTTGCCTAATCAATTTATAATTACAAGATTCTTTATTTGCTTCTGTATTTTATTTAGGAGGATACGTATCGAAGTTTTCTTAATAAATTTAATATTAATATAATATGTACAACAAATATAAATTTCTGGTCTAGAGAAAGATTTTAATTCGATGTCGAGTAATATTTCCACATTGAACTTCTACCATCGTTCCCTACATTAAGCCACAATTAAAGACAAATTTTACGATAAAATACTCACGTTGACGTGAATCTCGTTTACAGAGGAGTTTTAATTGCATCTTCCTCGCCAGAGGAACTAATAACTGTCTTGTTTTAACGAATCTGCTGCTAATGATTACTTTTTTTCTTCTTCTTCGCTTTATCGTTTCCGAGATACAGAGAGTGGCCTGTCCTCTTTCAACAGGATTAATTCCTGTGAAACGAAGTTTCTTGAATCACGTATCGCTTCTCATACCGTTGTATATACCTAAGGAATTTTTTTCTTTTATATATATTTATTCTATTCTTTTCTTTTAAAATAGAGTAAAAGATAAATGTAGGTTTCACAGAGATAGATGCAAAATTAGGGAAAGTAGAAATTGATAGAACTTTCTGCCAAATATGCTTTCCAAGCATAGGTAAATTAGGTGATATCGCGTTAAATTTATGCTATTCTTTTCTTTTAAAATAGGATAAAGGATAAATATAGGTTTCACAGAGATAGGTGCAAAATTAGGAAAAGTAGAAATTGATAGAACTTTCTGTCAAATATGGTTTCCAAGCATAGGCAAATTAG